TATATATATATGCTTCACTTAATAATTATAAAATTTAAAAATAATTTATAAAACAGGCGAAACTTATAAATCTTGCACTAATTTCGATCCTCTTCCCGAAGCAAACTTCCAACAACCCTATTGTAATACATATAAACAAGCTGGTACCACAACCCAATCACATTGTTGCGCAACTATTCTTGAAGTTGGAATTATTTTAGCAAAAATTCAATATTTAGAGTAATATTCAATCATTTTTACCTTTCATTTTTTATCGCTGTTTCTTAAAAAAAAATGTATACTAGTTTCAGGGCATTTTAATCAATAATTGCTCAACCATTTTTTACATAATATATTCAACACCTATGAAAGTTAGATAATTGTATGAAGTCAAGTAAATCGAGGTTTTTCTACGTTTAAAACATATATGCATGGTGCTCTATTGTGTAATGACCACCTTAGATCCCTTGTCAAACGCATATACATTGCGCCGCAAATTAATGGTCGAACAGGAAAGAAAAAGCTATCAAAATCTAACGAAACACTCTTCAGAATGACGAAACGGAAAACATGTTCAAGAGATATGTGTTGAAAAGAGATGATCAAAACAGCTTCAAGTTCTACAAGGAAATAAAACTGGTTTTGATATTTTTAACTGGTCTTCCTCACTAGTAATTTAACAGATCCTTACCTAATATGGGACTTCAAATATGCATACCTTTTTTGAGTCGATTTTTTTGAACAAAGGTTGCTAATAATATACATTAAGGATGATCATCAAGAAAAAAAATCTGTAGAAAATCAAATAAATCAATGTTTTTAGTTATATTTAAAGCATTTGTTTCAATGCTAACCTTTTAATTAAGATCAGAATGATCACTCAGATCAGATCAGAATAACTGGAATGCTAAGCGCCGTATGTAAAATGGTTCACAGTATTTCGTCTACCGTCACTGAAATTCGAGAATATTTTTAACTGGCATATGATTTTTAACTCTCGGAGATTTTTTAGCTGGCATTCGAGGATTTTTTAACTGTAATTTTTAAAATAAAATCTCTTCTAATCTATTTATCTGATATATTGAAGAACAAGAATTAGTTTTTAAAAGGAAGTGGCAATTAATAGAACCATTAAAAGAGATGATTGTTTGAGATTGTCGTCAATAGTAGACACGCTGGTTAAGTCAATTTTCATTACTAAATGGTTGATGTCGCTGGTTAAAATGAGTTTTTTTTAAAACTTACTGTGTGTATCTTAGAGTCATCTCTCCCAGGTAGAATTGATTGTACAGCGCTGTACAAATTCTTATATGTCTCTACGGCATCAGAAATGGATGAATCGGTTATTTGCAACAATGAACTACAGGATGATGCATCAAGGAAAGCACTCCAAGCTTCTTCAGAAATTCCTGGTAGTCCAATTACATATAAGCACAGTTTCGAGTTTTTCAATTTTTCAACCAAATCAGCGTCTTCAGCAGGATTGGAATTAGTAAACAAAACAATTATTCCTGGCTTGTCTGCCTCATCGTTGGCTTGCATATCCTAAAATACATTTAAAATGAAAACAAATATAAATAAAGAAAAGAAAAGAACCAAAAAAAGTATGAAAAATAAGAAGAAAACACGCCGTCTGGCAAACAACTCCTAGAAATTCCAAAATTATCGTCTGCTTTTCTTTTGCATTTCATCTTGTGCTGATATTTTTTAATGCTTGCGTTAGCCTAATTTTTCTGACTCTTACAATTTATTGTTTGTGATTGTGGGGTTGAAGTTGATCGAATCGATGAAGTTGATAAGTGTGATTTAGTCAAAAAGTGTGAACCCAGAACATCACCCATTTTCCTAATCGGTAAAAAAAATTACTAAATAAAATGCAAAGTTTAAAAGTTGTGCTTTACAAGAAGATTAACAAAATGAAAATAATTAATTTTTGTCAAACCTAAAAATCAGTTTCTAAAAGTAGAAAATGCTTGGCAATAGTTTATTTGGAAATATAATTGGTTAATTTGGTAAAGAAAATAACTGCACTTGCATCACATGCAAATTGCACGCATAATTTTCTTAGATTGTCATATAAATAAAAATGTCTGCTACTTTTTCACTGAAATTCTAGTATTACTAAATTTATCTTAGAATTAACATATCTTGTCTTACTCCACTAGAAAAGTAAAACTAGGTATTTTGACTTTTTCTAGAAAAATATAATTTATATAAAAAAAAAAGTAGTTCCTCTATGACTTTTCAGAAATGGTATATTGTACACAACTATACAATCAATATCTTGATTAAATCTGTCAGTTTCTAGATCAGACAGTTTAGATCTGACAAGCCTTCGAATTAGCTAACCAGTCTTACTCCACTTTCTTCTACACGCAAAGTAACATTTTCAGTTCAGTATTTTTATATACTTCAATTTAATTGAAACGATCTTCTATGTAATTTTCTTTTCAAAACACTTACTTCCAAAACTGTGTGCTCAATTTAAAATGTAAGCCCTCTAGCTAATCGGTCTGACTATAAATTTCTTGCTGTAATATGGCTATAAATTCTGCTTGAGGCAAATTTACCAGGAAATAGTTATTATTTGATTGGTCATCAGTCTCGGATATCTAGGTGTGGCTTAAAGAATCCAGTTTTCCGGAAAGTGGATGAAAGTTTTACCAGCAATCAATTAACTTTGCTATAATATGGTGATTAATTTTGATTGTAACTTACAATGTCGTCAAGCTCGGAGGGGCTCTCATAACGTGAGAACTCTAGTTAATCAGAAAGTGGTTGGACATTTGACGTGCAGTAAGTTGCCTTTGACCATAATTTCGTGATAAATTTCGCCGGTGACGGTAGTGAAATGATTGCAAATAATATTGCAATTCAGCATATAGCTTCAGCTTAAATTTGAGTGCTCTAGTCAGTATTAAAGTGGTCAGAAAATTTCGATTGACAGAAAATTTTCCTTGATAGTACGATAAGTTATGCGGGTAGTGATAAGAAAATGATTGAATCTCGCATTGGCATTGGTCATGGGGCTTTAGTACTGTTATAAGTACTCTAGCTAGTCGGAAAGTCATGATATACATTTTGACTGCTAGATTCCATAGACAGAAAAATTCATCTGTCGAGATTCCATCCCAATGATATCAAGATTTCATTAAGTTAAAAAAGTAGTAAAATAAAAAGATTTTTTATATTAAAACAAAAGTATTTATTTAAATGATAAAAATATTTTAAAAATAATTAAAAAAAAGCTTTTAAGAAATTTAATTTTTTGTAAAATTATCACTAATTTACTCTTTTAATTAAAATGTTATTAATTTTATTTTTAATACATCAGATCGCATGATACTAAAAATTAAAATGCTTCTAAAAATCACTGTGCAAGCTAAAAGTAAAAGTTCCCAACAGGGAGGAAGAAAGTGAAAATGGGCAGAAGCGTGGCCAAATGCGGTAACCATTCCACTATCTTTTTCCTCCCAAACTCCACTGTTTCGGACAATTTAAGAACCATTGTAGTAAATCTCTAACTGAAAGTTAGATTCCAGAAAGTCTAGGTTAAACTATATTTAAAGGTTTCCATTATCTCCAAGTTGGTCAAATGAATGAGTGATTTTTTGGTAACCCAAGCAGAAACCTTTAAATAATAGCACTATTAGTGGTAGTGGTACGTTAAGCACGTTGCACTAAAGCTGCACAATGAGCTATTGATGATGGTTTGAGAAATATTCCTGAAGATTATCCAAAGGTATGCCATCACAATTCTTTCAGAGGGGATGACTCCCCTGCTTCGGTAGCCCGACGGCCTGAGCGTGAAGTCGAGCACTTTTAGATAGAACAGTTTAACAAGAACCGATATTGTACACCCCTTTGAAATCTGATCAAAGTGGTCACCCACCCGCTCACTAGCAGCAACCAATGATGCTTGATTTCAGTGTTCTATTGGGAACTGTGTTTTAAGATCAGTACACTGTCGGACATCTCTTAAATTAATTATGTTAATATTTTTTTACAGCGCTTATTAGATAACAGACATTTCCATTTTTACGTATTACCTTACGTATATTTCACCGCATATCTAAATTGGGGGGAGGTCGGACTATAATTAAACCTTTACGTATTACCTTGTTTTATTTTCACATGAAATTAATTTTATTCCAATCATGATCTTAATCTATGTTCTAACTATGTTTTCTTTTTGGCGTTATATTTGACAGGGACACGCAGATAAAATTGGTGCCAAAAAATTCCAGTTTTCACCTAAGGGCATCTCCAAACGTATTTTTACCAACAATTGCCAAAATTTGTAGTTCATTTTTGCGATTTTAAAAACAGTTTTACTTAAAACTAACTTGTATTTTAAAATATCTTTAGAACTAGTAGCTGACAGGTTCAAGATAATCAAGATTAGTACTTCAAAAATCATTTTGATGTTGGGATTATCGTCTGGAACCCAGTTAACAAATACTATTTTGGCTGGGCGATTGTGATTTGGCGGAGAATACAAACAAAATAATAAATTTTAGGCCTCAATTTTAGACACAGTCATTTAAACACTGAACAAAAAATAACTTAATTTTTAAAAAAGCCGGAAACTTTATTTTTTTCGATTAGCAAGTGGAATAATTAAGATTCTTGAAGAACAGTAACAACTTCCATTTTCTTCTTCATCTTCTTCCATCGCTTTCCACTTCGCATTTTGATTTCTTCCTCAAGTAAATTCCCTTCCACATTTTTCTCAAATACTTCTATTTCTTCCAGATATTTTACAGTATCGTGTATAGGAGCAGTTGGAGGCCATTCTTCTTCAAGATAGGATACATATTCTTGGGGCTTTAAATAAAAACTTACATACTCTTCAACCGTTAAGAAAAAGGCTTCTTTGTAAATATGCAAGAGCTCTTGGCGAAAAGCTAAGACTCCTGTTGGCAGTAGTTCATTAACCTTTTCCTCGAAATCACTAGATTTTAGATAACGCACATAAGATGCCAGTACAAATATAACATCCTCTAGTTTCTTAACCATTTGAGCAATGATTGGAATATCGCTCTCCACTTTCATAGTTTCAATTCCCACTTGCTTATCTATATAGTTTGGCGTTTTAATGACGCAACTGTTCCATTTCTTAAAATATCTGTTGATAATTCCGCAACTTTTGACTACTTTAGCACCAAGGATTGTTCCATCTGATTTAAAACTGACCGTTGCCTTTATTATTTTTCCAACCGCTACATCAGAACATTCGAAAGTATGGTAAAAGAAATTTTCGTGTATGATTAAGACTCCAGTAATCTTTGATTCCTTGTGCATTATTTCATTTCGGATTTGTTTTATAGCTTCGATATGATTATTTTTCACTTCTTCTCTCTTGCTGTACTCAATATTTCCAACTAAAATAATTCGTCTGATAGGCTCGACAAGTCCATGGTTTTTTAAAGTCTGGCGAAAAATGTCACTACACGTTGAAAAATATATTTCTTCTAAACATTCTGTGACATCATTAACCGGATTTATTCCACTTAATTCCATAATATTTACAACTAATTATACTTCCTTTATTTTAACTGTGAGTTTGCTATTGAGTTTTCAGTCATATATAAAGGAATCAAAAGATGTATATATGAAAGTTACTCACATATTTATTCAATTATATTTGCTTATGTAAACCTTAAAAATTCGGAAAAACAGACTACTCTATGGTTCTGTGGAAAGGTTTATTAGATTGCTGTTAAAATAAGTATATCGTGACACATATATAATTATATAAATGTAACATTATATAAATGTGCACACATGCTCATAGTTACAACTACTCTTGAACCCAGTTGAAAATCGTTTGCACGCCATCAAATCTAAACCAAGACCCATTTTGCTAATGGGTAAAATAGACTCTCTAGATCAAAAAGTGAAGCTCTCCGGTGATCTACGGAGCTCTTAATGCTTCCCTTACCATTTCACAGCATTTTGCTTACTTTCTTACTTACTTTACTTACTTACTTTCAGAGCACTTGGAGTAGGATAGTTTGAAATTAAATGAAACACATTTTAAAATTTAAAACTGTCTGAATATTATGATATTTTGCTGACTTGATGTGGAATAAAAAAATTTAATATCAATTGCTAATCACTAATTAGGTGAAACTATAAAAGTGATTCAATATTTAATGCGTCCGTTTCTCGGCCATTCTGTTGGCGTTATTAAAAATATCACGTTGAAAGCCACGCCAAACAGAACATTCAAAAATTCTTTCCCTCTTTTAGTGTCCCATCAGTTCAAGATGGACACTGGTCTTTTTCAAAATTGCATACCTTATGACCTTTTCATTGGCATTGTTTTTCTATCCATTGTTTTCAATGTATATAAATCACAATCAAGACAATTCAACCGAACATTCATTTAAACCCCATCTCTCTCTTTCCCTCCTTTCGAATTGTCACCCTCTTTTTCAAGTGCCGGTAGGTTTTGTAATTAAAAAATTTTTTGTGATTCCAGTGTCGTTAGCTATAATTAGATATTAAATTTATTTAAACCTTGGGACTATAATAAAATTAACTATGTCAAGATTTTTGAACATTTTGTATAATTCTGTATTTGTTTTTCACACTTCAATCAAATATAATTCCAGTATGCAGATCAAAACAACCTCGTCTTTTCTATGAAACTTATGTTTAAGGGAAAACGTAAAAATTTGTTTAAAATGTAATAGTTCCGAAATAATAAAATTATATCTGCAAAAATTGCCTAATTTCATTTTTTTATGTAAGCTTTTATTATCTTCTATGGAAAATTAGTTTAAAAGTAAAAATTTTTAAATTATAATAATAAAGTGTTCTACAGGCTTAAATTTGGAAACCATCCCTTCTCACTAATACTACTTAGGGCTATAACTTACCTGGGGGCAAAAGATATCATTATCAACGTGTTTTAATAAGGTGTAAAATTATTAGTAGGTTTAGTAAAGATGTCCAAAATTATCATTGTATTTTTGTTTTAGGAACAGTTTTAATATAATCCGCTTTCGTGTGCTGTGTCTTGCAATAAAACCATAATTATACGTGGTGTGGTAGAATGGCAGTGACAACAACAACTTTTTTTTTCGTCCATTGCTTGACTCATAAACACATAAGAGTAAATATCTGACACATAAGTGTTAAATATCTTCAATACGTAATGGAACTGATTTTATCTCTGATAAAAAAAAAACGTTTAAAAAAAACTTTAAAAAAAACTTTAAAAAAAAAAAAAGGTTTTATGTCTGATAACTTAAATTAGAGTCTGCTTAAATATTTTAGAATATTTAAAGATCGTTCCTCGAATCATATTTAGATTGCATTTTAAAAAATGCAATCATTACTTCCAAGTTTATTTGGTGTTTCGTCTTTAATTTTACACACCGTAAAGGGTGTATCCAATCAAAATTATAAATCGGTATTTAATTATGAAGCCTATTTCCCAGTCTTCAATAAGAGAAGTGGGGAGTATTATTTGCAAATTCAAAATCATTTTCATTAAAAACATTTTAAAGAATTCTGTGCAGGATAGATTGATTCCTTAAAATCAATCTTTTTCATTAAGCTATTTTCATGAATTTTATACAAAATAGATTTATTCTTCAAAATTGTTCTTTTTCATTAAATCGTTTTACGAAATTCCATAATAGATTTATTCTTTAGAGTAAATCTTTTTTAATTATGTCATTTTAAGTATTCTATACGGGCTTGATTTTTTCTTTAAACAGTTTTTTACTTACGTTGACAGCTTTGTGGACAGCAAGCAGTGGTTGCCCATCCACGGTGCTTCCAAAATTGGAATTTGTTGCCCAAGACGTTCGAGTTGTTTCAGTAATTTCTCTAAAAGGTACGTGTTCATTCAATGTATCTTTAAAACTGTAAAGAGCGACTCTGCTGCCATCAGGGATGTCAAACATCAGTTTCTGAACAACTTTTAAAATAGTTCTTCCCTAGTTAAAAATAATAGTAATTAGTATGGTACAAATGGTTTAAATAATACATCTTTCTAATATTTTGACAATGTTTGTGTTACACTTACTAAATGTTAAATACAATTTGACAATGTTTGATACAAGGTCGAAGCAAGCGAAGCAACCCATACAGCACAACTCGTCATAATTATGTTTCAGTTTAGTTAAAAATCTCGCCCAATTTACAACATGCATCGCTTCAAAAATATTTGTGAAATGTAACCTTTGATTGGTTGACCATAAAATAATTTATTTTCAGTTCAGAAATTATGTATTTATTGTCTTTTAGATAAAGAATGAGAACCCACGTGTTGATTTTTCACCACAGTAGAATACAATATAAATGAATAGGAACAACAAGGTGAAAACAAATCGTTCTTTCTCAAAGCAACTGCCTTTTTATTCATATTATGCTTTATATGCGTTGATAGATGGAGTACAGAGCGCAAAATGAAAAAACGGACCTATCTCAATAACTTTTAATCTAATGATCGGATCTTCACTTTCTAGGAATCAATCTTAATGTAAATCTTAATTACTTCAAACATGCTAGTTATTTAATACATACGATATTTTAACTTACGAAATGAGACACAAAAACGCTTTTTTTTAATAAACATACCTTTTTTTTCTATGGATTCTGATTTCAAAACTCCCAAAATAATACCGAAATTAATTCAAAAAAGAACATAATTTCTATTTAGGTATGAGCTAGGACAATGTAATATTTTATATAAAGCGTTCTAAATATTCATAGAAAATATTTCGAAAATTTCTAGGGGTACCTGAGTTAGTAAACTTTTGGTATCTTGCCAAGCGACAGCAAGTCTTAATTCACTTTCCTGAACAAAGGAAAACTTGATTTCTTCATCTGTAACCTCATCATCCGCTTGAACAGACCTGTAACGATAATATTAGATTAGATTTTTATCGAAATCAACATAGACTTTAAAAAAGAATGTGAATTAAACTAATTTATCGGAAGAAACTTAAAAACAAAAAAATTAAAAGCTTTCAGTCAAAACTTAAGCCTTAGAAAACTCTTAAAATACAATCAATATTAATACTATCTTTCCTTTTTTAATTCATTGCAATTCTTTACGCATTTTAACAAACCTATTGCACTACAGAAGCCAAGAAATATTTTTGAAAAATATAAAATTTTTATTAAAATACGTTGAATGCACTCACTGAACATAATGTATCTGTACCTTCTGTATAATTAATTACGCTATTTCTTTAACACTATGTTTTGCCTCCATATGAATGTCCAACCTATAGTCAAACTTGTAATTTTTGCCCATAAGTTCGAAAGGGAGGAAAATAATCAGATTATAGTACATCAGAAATACATCTTTAATTTACATTTTTTTCTACGCAAAAAATACAAACTAGTAAGATGGCATATTTGTAAAACTAAAATTTCTGAGTTTCAATTAAGAAAATTAAAATAAGTTAATTAAGTTAATTACCTCGATAAACAATGCATAAATGTCGGGTGAGTAAAATATTATCAATACAATATAGTTATTTCCAATTAAATTTTTTAAAATAAATTAACGTACTAAATTATTTTATTAATTCAATGCTTGAATCATAAATCAATAACCTACTTAAATACTTCAATTGTTTCGAATGCATTTTTATTCATAAAAAGAAACTTGTCTAACGTTTTATCCCTTATTATTTTTGTACAGAATGGCTTCATCAATCTTTTTTTTTTTTTTTTTTGAGTGATTATAACTGAATAATTTATAACCATAAAATCCTCGAAAATATATTCAAATGTTTCTACACACAGGTAGGTTATAATTATATCTACCTTGTTTAAACCTACAACGAGTCCGTTCTTGTAGGTAGATATCAATAAAAGTTAGTACATACGTTATATGGACAATGGGTAGAAAATCTGTTATAAAAAATGAGTTGAATTTTTGATCACCATTTGATTCGTAATAAGATATATGCAGTCTATTTTGCTCATAAAGCACATGTTTAAAAACGTATTATTGCAAGTTCAATTGTAGCACAGAGAGTTGGTTGGTAGGTTCTAATGCCACTCGCCACACGGGCAAGCCTGTTTGGTGGAACCGAGCAAATTTAAGGCAGAGAGTGCGATTCTTGTCTTTCAGTGGCGCCATCTATGGCCAAGAATTCGACCTCTGCCACATCATACGTCACACCTGTTTATAAGACGAACCCATTCATACATTCTTCATTCTTTCATCCACAGATCGTAATTTTGACCTGAATCAGAGAAGGATCGATCTCCAATCCAGTACCCTCAGAGGTATTGATTTGTTATGGGAACATGGAGGACTTTGCGACTCGACAGAATTTTACGTGCATCAGTCACCAACTACACGGGGAGTCTGCCGCCGGCGGGGTTCGAACCCACGAACTCTCGGACATGGGCCCAGCGCCCTACCGACCAGGCTATCCCGGCACTAAAGCATAGAGAGTTTTTCAATCTATTGCAGCGAAAGCCGGGACAGCCTGGTCGGTAGGGTGCTGGGCCCATGTCCAAGAGGTCGTGGGTTCGATCCTCGTCGGCCGAAGACTCCCCGTGTGGTAAATGGTGACTGATGCACGTTAAATCTGTCGAGTCTCAAAGTCCTCCATGTTCCCACAACAAATCAATACCTCTGGGGGTACTGATCCAGGAGTTTCCTTGTCTTCTGGATTGGTTCAAAATTACAAGGCTACGGAGTTGAACGTAAGTAGTCGTAAACCCATGAAATTGAGTCGGCTGTTCAACGACGGTTATAAAATAAAAATCTATTGCAGCAATATGACGTGGTGTTATACTTGCTGTCAATTCCAGTTTTATTTGGAAACCTGCTTTCGCCTTTTTCTCCAGTAGTAATAGTAATATGAAGTATAGAAGTAATTAGTAACAATCTTTTTAAGTATTTTAGGAGAATAGTTTTACGGCATGAAATTAGCCTTTTAATCTGTACTAAATCCTTTTTCGCCCATAAAAAGCGCCATCTATCAGCTGAAATGAGAACTAATTTTTATTTCTAATTTTTTTTTTTTTCTCCAGTGTTCCACATAATTGCACGGCATCATTCATCTACCAGAAGAGACACTAGGTTAATCTAAACAGTGAAACTTTTTATGATCATAAGTGAAATTATTTTAAAGAGAACTAGAAGTGTCAATTTTTCTAATAATTATTATTCTAGCAAATCATTCATTATATCAGCTGCAGAAATGTTTAAAAATAGATCACTTACTTAAAATCCTCAGATGTCTCAATAACTTCCCATATGCTTTTATATGAACAAATGAGATTTTGCTTGTTAGGAGAACCAACATTGTGAATTCGGTCCTCTTTACCACAGACGTGGTCCAACTGAAATTAAAACAAAAAATAATAAATTAAAAAAATAAAAAAGATATATTTTAAAAAAGATGTATGTTAAAAGAAATATTTAAACATATATTTTGTTTCAGGATTTTAATTTTCGTATTATATATCGATTAGCAAACAGAGACAGTATATTATTGCAAAACAGCGTGTCTCAGTCTTAGGGGTTCAATTTTTTAAGGGATTACAGAAAATAATGAACGAAAATTTTTTAGAACGAATGAAAACACGGAAAACACAAAAAAGGGATTTTTTGTCAATGAATTAATAGCAAAGAGCAAATTCTATAGTAAAACTGATCATTTTTAATTAAATTATAATTTTATTTTAAGTGAATTTAGTTGTGTATACCTACTTAAACGGTAGAAAAAAGGTTAATTCTTAGAAATTGACCATTTAAAAAATATATGAAGGATAAGTGGTAAAAAAAATAAAAATTTAAAAAGAAAAATAAAGTAAGCATATTTCTGCATCCATCCGCAACCTTCGAATTGCAAAAGTCTATCATAATTGTAATTGTTATTACCAATAATGGTTTCCAACTTTTTCTCCGAATTAAAGAACAACTTTTTCAAACACCAGATTATATGTTGTCATAATTAATCTTTAAAACCAGCAATCATATAATCATAAAAAATAATTATAATTTCATGGATAACTTCTCGCTACGATTAAAAATGCTAAGATTTTTGCAAAAAAACATGCATTTTTTCATAAAATGATACTGAGGTACAGCAACAACAATTAATTATTGTAATTGAGACCACTGATTACTTATAATTACGGATCATATGATTACGTGTAAACAATGTTTTTTTCTATGTATAAAGATTACTTGTAATCCAGAAAACAGCTAACTCAGTTCTAGTGGTTTCTCGGGTTATACTCAACTAATTTATTTCCAATTTTGGTTTCTAGGATTAAAAATTGCTTAGATGTACAGTGATCAAAATAAATTTTAAAAAATGAAACACCTAAATAATTTTTGATCTAATGTATCACGACTTCATATACTAAGATGTAATTTAGGGATTGACCTGAAATATGCTAATTTGAGATAATATTTTACGTTTCGAAATCAGACGCCAAAATGTACTTCTAAGATTAAGCATGCCTTTTATTTTTAACATATTTGGATTCTTAACCGTCGAAAAAATGTAGGTAGCCACAATCTTGAAAATAGGGAACCAATAATTTAAGTTATTGGTTTATAACGATTTTAAATTATGTTTTCCTTTTTGCTAATATCACGTTTTGTTTATTTCCCTATATCTCATCATCTATTGAATCATAAACTTTTTCCTTCAGTTGTAAAAATTCGTTTATCTAAAAATAATTCCATGTAAAAAATTAGTTTTTTTTAATAATTAATTAGTATTATTAGAATTAATATTATTTTCACAACCAATTGTTGTTTTTTATAATTAATATTATTATAATTTATCATTTTATAACTAATTATTATTTTTAATTATTTTTATTATTATTTTAAACTGCGTAATTTTAAACGATAAAATCGAACATTTAAGCTAAATCGATTAAATATTTTCTGGGTAATGAAATTTTAAGAAAGTTTATTGTTAAATTTTCTTTTTTTCTGTTATCACTATTTGAACGATTTCCGTCAAATTTTGATTCTTGTCCTTTAAAACTTCGTACTTTAAAATGTTTCTATTCTAATTTTTATTGGCCATCATTAAGACACACAATAACAAAAATTGGCATCAGATGGTCCAAACTTTTGGCCGCTTTCCTGACGAACCCATTTGGACAATTTTTTTTAGATGGTGGTTACCCCTTCTCCCATGTTTTCAGAGTTAAAAATCCCAATCCGCCGAAAAAAAGGTGTTTTTATTCTAACAAAGTGTTTTTTTTTTTTTTTAAATCTTAATTCGTGAAAGTTTATCATGCGCTTTAATCCCAGTGCATCAAATTTTTGGAGCTTCTGATATTTATTATTACTTCAATCCGTAACTTGAAATATCGTCTGTATTAACTAATTAGCATAATCCAAGTGAATCCCATAAGCCATTAAGTTGGCATCCTAGTTCATGACAATCCTATCATTCCATTTAAATTTATTACGGTGTTACGATTTTTTGATTTTGCGTACTGCCAAAATTCCGTTAAACCTGAAGTTAGTGTAAACATTTAACAGCTGGCATTCACCATATCCCCTGACAAAACACTGCATTAGCAAACACCAAGTGTAGGGAGAAAAAGAAGTTCGTTTCAATTCCTGGGGTTCGAAAAATGCTGCAACAAGCTTTTAAAGGAAATTGATTGCGTCCGTTTTAGGTCTGAAAGAAGGTAAGAGAGTGATTAATTGAGGACATTTAACTCAGCATTATGTATACAAAAGGCATACTAGATGAATGCAGTCCTAATTGTTTCAACAGATTTTTGACCACTGTAGATTTATCAGGAACGTGACCCATAATAGTTTTGAGAACAGAAAAAATCAAGGTTCAATAAATCAATTGAGGAGCAGCTACCAGCACGCACAAATACTGCTAAGGGGCTATAGTAAAAACCTGCAGAAAGAGTTGGCACAGTAGTATTACAGTAATGGAATTCTGGCCACAATTAAGCATCGTCGGCCATGGTTTCTATGAAATTCTCAATATGACCTGCCTTTCCTTAGAATGAGCAGCAGCATATTTGAAACACCCTGCAAAATCCCTTGCAAAGACTTGCAAATCCAATTACGAAACACACTATATAGTCGAAAAATACATTTAAGCTGCTCACCTGTGGCAGTTTTTCATGGTAAAACATTAAAGATGATGTCACATCTTCCTCATGGGGGTGAATTGAGCAATTGTTAGCTGTTTCGGATGTCAAAACACAACTGTTGTTCTGGGAATCCCTGTAAATCAGAAACGTTGAGATAGTTTTAAAGTAGAGTCTTTTTGTAAGTAGTCTTACCAACTACAACTTACGGCTTGCGAAATATTCATTCAACTCTCAGGTTAAAAGTAACATAAAATATAGAAATAAACACTTACATAAGAAAAATATAAATAGTTATTTTGCATTTTACATCATCAGCGGATAGAAATGTCATGCTTGTTTCATTAAGATAGCATAATTTAGCAAGTGGGAAATAAAATTGTTCCTCAAGTTCATTTATTTTTCCTGATGAATTGTGAAGTTTCAGTTGCATAATCAGTTCATCAGGTACTTAAAGTAGATATTGCATTGTAAATGGAATATTTAATAAAAAGAATTAAATGAACGAATTAAAACGAATTAAAATTTAATAAAACGAAAACTAAATTTTCCCCCAAATTACTTTATAAATTTTTTCATCTAAAACAATTAGAAATTTGATAAAAGACAAAAACGAATTTCTATCACTTTTCATTTTTACGTTTTAAAATGATAGAAACAATCGAAAACAATAAGAAGTGCAACTAAACGCTAAGATACAAGTATCATAACAATTTTTTTGATATTCTAGTAGAGACATTCTTTTTTTATTTTACTTTTTTGATATATTTCTCAGTAAACATTTCTTTAGATGTTTTATTTATTTATTTTACTGATTTCTTGTATTTATTTTTAAGGCATTCTTGTATTTGGGGAATTTGACTTAGCATTACAACGAAACATTTATTATGTCGTAATTCTAATTTTAAAAAAAAAAAACTTAGCAAAGTTTAATTAAATGAAATGTTACCTTTCGGTAGGGATATCTTATGTCTCCTAATGCTATTTGAAATTGAGGCCCCTCAAATTTACAGTAATACAATTAATAAGATTAAAATTCTTAAATATTTTAAATTTTCAAAAAGTACAGCCATCCTTACATGATTGAATAACCTATTTTTGGAGATGTGCAGTCAGTAATATGAATTTCGTCACTGCCGGGAATGGTGTAATGCGTGGGATACATAGGATCATCTAGAAAACCATTTTCATCAAAAACTCCATATCGATATTTCAACCATTCTCTTGCCAGAGTTTTTCCTGTGAACGAAATTTTAAAATATAATAAACTAAAAAATACTTTATTACATATATTAAAATATATATAATGAAGTAAAATGACTCATTCTTTAAAAGAATTCAGAATTCATAAAACGTGGAAACATTACTACACACTTCCCAAAAAAGCATTTTCTTAAAAAAATGTTTTTGCATAGTTTNGTTGAGTTGTAACCATTTTCCAAGAAACAATAAGAAACAAAATACCGGGCTAGCTCTGAAATTATTTATTTATATAGTTACTAGCAGAGCACAGAAAACAGTTACAAATTTCAAAAAAAACATATTAACAAAACGAAACTCACATAACACTAAACGGAGAGTTTAATTTGGAGATGTTCTCCAATCGGTTGCCGCAGTTCAACTCAAAAGTTTCGCCACAAGATGGCGTGGTGGTAATTCAGTTTTAAAGTAGTTTAGTTCTGTTACAGAGTTAGTTTGAAAGTAGAGTCTTTTTGTAAGTTGAGTCTTACCAACTACGACTTACGGCTTGCGAAATGTTTATTTAATTCTCAGGTTAAAGGTAACATAAAATATAGAAATAAACACTTACATAAGAAAAATATAAATAGTTTTTTTGCATTTTACAGCATCAGCGGATAGAAATTTCATGTTTGCTTCATTAAATTCATAATTTCTAATTCTGTTTTAAGTTCAAATGGAAAATTGTTTTGTGCACGCTAACGAAAAAATATTAAACCTTCAATATCAAACATGCTATATAGGTCGAAAAAATTTGTTAACACATGAAAATACGAAAAGAAATAACAATAGGTAAATAAAGCTTTTTAAATGTTTTTACTCAATTTTAAAAAAAGGGGGAAATTAAATTGTACTTCAAGTTTAAACTGAAGTTAAATCATTCATTTTTCCTGATAAATTGCGAAGTTTCAGTTAAATAATCAGTTCATCGGGTACTTAAAGTAGACATTGCATAGTAAATGGAATATTTAATAAAAAGAATTAAAATTTAATAAAACGAAAACTAAATTTTTCCCCTAAATTACTTCATAAGTGTATTGGTTACAAAGAACATTTTTCATATAATACAATTCGAAATTTGATAAAAGACAGTTGTCATTTTGTAAGCAGATCAGCTTTAATATATTTTTTTTGAAGGGATGTTATTTAAAATTTTATTTCTGAAATTTTAAATATCAAAACAGATAAACTTTTCATTTTTGCGTTTTAAAATGATAGAAACAATTGACAACAATAAGAAGTGCAACTAAACGCTAAGATACAAGTATCATAACAATTTTTTAGATATTCTAGTAGAGAATATTTTCTTTTATTTTACTTTATTGGTATATTTTTCAGTAAACATATCTTTAGATGTTTTATTTATTTATTTTACTAATTTCTTATATTGAACATTTGTTTATTTCTATTTTTAAGGCATTCTTGTATTTTGTGAATTTGACTTAACATTACAACGAAATATTTATTATGTCTTAATTCTAGTTTTTAAAAAAACTTATCAAAGTTTAATTAAATGAAATGTTACCTTTCGGTAGGGATATCTTATATCTCCTAATGCTATTTGAAATCGAGGCCCCTCAAATTTACAGTGATATAATTAATAAGATGAAAATTCTTAAATATTTTAAATTTCAAAAAGTACAGCCATCCTTACATGATTGAATAACCTATTTTTGGAGATGTGCAGTCAGTACTATGAATTTCGTCACTGCCGGGAATGGTGTAATGCGTGGGATACATAGGATCATCTAGAAAACCATTTTCATCAAAAACTCCATATCGATATTTCAACCATTCTCTTGCCAGAGTTTTTCCTGTGAACGAAATTTTAAAATATAATAAACTAAAAAATACTTTATTACATATATTAAAATATATATAATGAAGTAAAATGACTCATTCTTTAAAAGAATTCAGAATTCATAAAACGTGGAAACATTACTACACACTTCCCAAAAAAGCATTTTCTTAAAAAAATGTTTTTGCATAGTATGTACGGTGCGTAAAATAAGAAAATATCACCCTGAATAACTGTCATTCAAATAATCCGATTTTCACGTATAAACTGAAAGCTTAAGTTTTGAAACTTTAACTTTATAGTTAAAGATAACTGCATAACTACAATAGTGATGCCATAGTTAAATTATTGTTTTAAGGACTACATGAATCCTGTTAAAATAATAAAAATACGGATTTTTTTCTTTTACGAACATAAGATTCTGATTAAAATAATGATCGAGACCAGAATATTAGATGAGACACAAATGTAACTAGATAAACCGCAGTAGCAAATCAGGGCGAAATGCATTCCGACGCTCTATCCAGAGTTGGTGAGGAACTCATGTCATTTACAAGGGAATCTGCTTTAATTATGAATAAAACAATATTCCGGGACATCAAGATCAGCTGATGTGACAAGGGTGGTAAGAATTTTGGTATAATCGAAAGTGATTTTATACCCAGAATTCCAAGAATGTGCGGCAATAGATGATATACAGTCATTTTGATAATGGATATATTTATTGTGTTCCTTTAGACAAAATTTTAAACGACGTCTGTTTTGTACGATGCAACTAAAGTCGAAAATGTATAAAATTTATCCCAAAGATTCCAAGAATGTGCAGCAATAGATGATTTATCACATTCTTGATAACAAACTCTTTTTTCTACCATATTCTTTTAGTCAAAATTTTAAAACGCGTCTGTTTTGTCCGATATAGCTAAGATTGCACTGGCAACGTATTCATTATTTGCTTCACTCTCGGTTACCGCAGTTTGTCTAATTTTATTTTTCACTTTTATTTTCCCTTTTTCTTTAGATAATTTACAGGTTTTTGCAGGCTACTTTTGTTTTCTTCATTCATGTCTGGGAAATTTTGAGATCTATTTTTGAGTGCACGAAAGATTTGCGTAAAAAAAAAAAATTTTTTTTTAAAAATAATAAATAAACAAATTTAAAAAAAAAAAACGAACATTAATAAAAGTTTACATGTTTCGAGATCTTAAAAATAAGCGCCCATTCTCAAGGCTTGCCAGACGTGAATGACTTCGTGACGCGAATTTTTGAGAGACAGTTACACAGTATATTGAATTAAAATACAGAACGCTGTATTAAAATTAATTATACGTAAGATAACAGTTATGGCTTTTAGATTGAAAAAATAATAAAAGATAAGCCATGACAATATAAATAATCAATGCAGTGCATTTTTTCTATTGCTAATCTTAAAAACAACTTTTTAAAGATATCAAACTATTCCGTCTACAGTTGAAATTTCAAAAGTCGAATAAGATAATGGAAGGACTCCTCTCCCTCTGGAATCAAAGTTAAATAGTTACAAGGCCAATTATTTCGAACAAATGAAGTTCTCCGCTCCACTCAAAAAAAAAAATTTAAAAATGTCTTTTTTAATTATAGATCTAAAATGTATGTATTTTAGGATAATATTTCAGAGCATATTTCGACGGATTTTATTTTTTTGTACCCTTTATTATTATTTTTTTCTTTTTGTTTATAATTTCTGAAGTTATGTGATTTAATGCATAAATAGTATGAAAGTAAACGCGTCTTTCTTCCCGCTTTTCTTCCCCCTTCCTGCAGCTCTTAACCCCTCCTTCTCGCTCCCGTGAAAATGACAGGGTGAGGTTTCGCCCTCGATTTCTCCCTCCCGTGATATTGACGGGCTGGAGTGTTCAGTAGTAACGCGCCAATAAGAATAAAACTAATTAATTTTTTTTGCCCGGAAAACATTTTATGTCTCATTTTACACACCAGATGGCAGTACCAGGATATTTTTAAGGTAATTGTAGATAGTTAGTTTATTTTAAACTAGATGTCAGCACTAATCAGATACGTAATACAAGTACCAAAGCCAAAAAATTAGGCACTTTTATGACCGTTTTCTTGAAAATTAACCGATTGTTAAGGGGTTAACAAAATAAAGGAATCCGTTTATACAAATAGTAGTTTGTTTCTAACTGTTTCGAGCAGTAAAATGTTTGCTGCAAGCAGGTTTCAATGCCGGGGTTAATGAAATACTTGACTCAGTACGATTGAGCATCAATGAAATATTAACATTCTTGTCTCCTAACTGTAAAATGTAAGAAAAATTTCAATTTATAATTTCTAAAAATATTTTTAAGAAACAGTTATTATGCTAAAACTATTTGCTGAACATACAAATGACAGCTGTAAAATAAGACGTTGTCCAAAAATGTCTTATTATACCTTATTTTAATATTCAGAAAAACCTAAAGCTAGAAGGAAAAAAAAAACAATTGTTTGAGATGATGATTCTAAAAACAGCACGGTTATTGAATCTTTTTGCAGTTTTCTATTTTTAGTGTTTGCTATTTAACAAAATAAGGCACATTTTTCTGAAATAACAATATTTTATGAATTATACTAAAAAATTTTTTCAACATTATCTTTTTAAAAGGGCAACATGTTTTAGGTTAGTGGGAGAGAAAAAGTTTATATGTCATTAGCAATTCCAGAATTTTTGTCCATTTAAAAAACAACGCAATCTATTGTAATTTTTGCGTTGCCTGTTTATGCATTTACTTTTCATTACACGAATAAATATAAAACAATCAATAATTTATTTTAATTTTTCGAAAAAATATTCGGCTATTTAATTATTTTGTCGGTCGTGAAATTGACATATTTGCCCTTTCGGCTATAATATGTGCCCAGCTGCAAGTGACTAAGTTGCTTCATTAGGTGGGCCTAAAAGGTGCGAGAAAATTCTAGTTGTTTAACGGTATAATGTGAAAGCGATTTTTCCCGCTGTTAACAGTTTGATTACCATCTTATTTACGGTTATTTGACTGTTTAGTTTGAATATGGTAAAATAAAAATTAAATAGATTGTTGTTTAATCATTTTTTTTTCGAGAAATTTCCTACTGTGTGCATGTTAAAATTTATAAATAAGTTATTCTATAGATTATCTAATTATTATGCAGATTGAATATGGTAATCCGTTAAAATGACAAAAATTGCTTAGTTTCTCAAATTACCTCGGTAATCTGCAGATAATTTGCACATTGTCTATTAAGCACTCGTTAAAGTGAAAATAAGATCTTTGTTGGAACAACTTTACTCTTATATAACGTAATTAATTTTTTGCTATCTAAAACAAATCAAGTTAGTAAAATCAACAAATTATTTGTCAGATTTAATTATCAATTACTTTAGAAACTGTAAAATAAAGAATCAAACGGTTTAGAATATAATTACAAAATTGTAAGGAAATTTACATAATGTCATCTGTTTATTTTTCGGTATCTAAAAAATAAAATTAAAATAATTTTTTTTTTCTAGCGCCCACCTGTGTTAATATCCGTCAATTACATTTACAGGGCGATTTTGTTGGCCTCTTTTTCAAGGGCACCATATTAGATGGGTCAACATCGCTCCCACAGTGAGGACAAATTGTACAGAGAAGGAAAGAACGTCCACGCCTTGCCCTAGATTCGAACCCAGAACCTTTCTGATGCATGGACAGTTCCCTGCCCCCTACACAGGCCGGTCGGCTTTTAAATTAAAATAATCAACACACTATTTTATAGTATGAGAAATACGAATTTTAGTGACACCGAAGCCGTTAATGTACTCATTACGTCTCTAAAATGTTGAAAACTCTTGATTCTGCACTTTAACAGAGCAAATCAGTTAATCTACAGATTGACTCGGTAATGCTTAACAGCTTTCAAATGTTTGCGGTAACATAGTTTAACCATGCTTTTTTTAAATCAATAAGTGCATTTAATGATTGTGTTTTATAGCATATTCAGTATTAATTATTAGAAAAAAAGAATTAGTCACAATTCGGCTAATTAGTTGACGTATACAATTGCAAAACCAAGATGCAAGGTTTAAAAGGAAAAAAATAAAGATTCGAAAGAATTAAAGGCAAAAATTTAATTTTAGGAAAAGCTGCCTTTTTCCAACATGATTAATGCATGACATATTCGAAATTAAGTTATTTTTGGATATTTTGTGTAACATCTCTCCACGTAATATTGCACTGATTCAATTTCGGTGAATCAAATGTAAAGATTAATTCGATTAAATTTCGCAATAATAATACAATTGAATATTTTGTCTAGATATATCAAGTACCTAGATATATACAGTGTTGGTTATCACCATGGTATTTATCAGTGCGTGAGCAACTCTTTGTATTTATCTTTAATACAAAGAAAGAGGTATTCAATATGACCTCATACGTACTTATTGATATAAAATTATCAGTCTGTTGAATCCGAAAAACAAAGATAAAAAAGGCAAGTTCAAAATTATTAAATACCTTTCATGTATTGGAAATTTAGGTTATAAATAGAACAATAAAAGTATATTTCCTGATATCATAATAAATCTTCCTATGAATACTTTAGTTTAAAGAGTGTAAAATCAATACGTGAAATTCGTTTATGATATTAAAGTATCCCCCTTCCTTGAATTTTAAATTTTTTAAAAATAATAATTGATGATATTATTAATTGATCACTATTTTTAAATAAATTAATAAATAGTTATTTTTGTTTTGTTTTTTTATTTTCGTATCATTTTATTACACTAGTTGGACGATCTTGATTTAGAAAATTTAATTAAAAAAAAGAAATAAAATAAAGAAAAAGAAACAAACATAAAAATTTTTGAAGTTAAGTTATTATTTACAGATAAAAATAAGGCCGGCATCATTGCTGGTTTTCTATACTATACTATACTATATATATATATATATATAAATCATTACTGTAAGACAGTGTTGTTTTCCAAGCTTATGACTTTTGTGTACCCTTTCTAAATTTTTCGTAGCGCTGTGTACCACTAATAAAAAATTAATGTATTTTTTACTATAAAAAAATTGCACGAAAGTTAAATCACAACTAGCTGTTGACTTCACTAATTAACTGTCAACTCTGTAAAAAAATAGCCAACAGAATAATACGTAATCGTAAATTTTCATGGCTAGCTTTGCTTTGAAATAAAAAATTTTGAAATTTTAGTTTGTTGCAAGATATTTCGTATAAGAAAGCGTAGCCCCGCTAAACTGTTTCTATATCCCTGGGGGTAAGCGTACCACACTTTGGGAAGCACTATTTTAAGACAACCTAAAAAAATGAATAATATCTACTATAATGTTGGTGCCAGATAAAAAATGTAGATTCTTTTTTTAAAAAAAATTACCTTTTGGAAACGATTCTTCTTCAGCCAATAAGAATTCACTGGGAATCGATATCCCAAGGGCAGAAACTCCACAGCCTCCATACTGGTGGGCGATAGGTTGTTTTCCGAATGCACTGTCTGTCAATGACGTCACTTGAATCTCTGGTTCAGTTTTTGCATTGTAAGATGAAACAGAACCAACATTTGACCAATGGGAAGAATTCCATGTCCGAGGCAAATGAAAAGTCACACTTCCAATCCTCAAACCAACTGCTGTATGAAGAACTGATGAAGCTTCATTGAAGATTTTCTGCAAACAACAAATAATGTAACTTTCATGCTTAATCCTATGCTCAAGAAAAAACGAAAACTATCAAAATTATAAAATTTATTTAAACTGTTAAAAATAACGAGATAGTTTATAACTGTTTAGTAGGTCACTTTGCTCCATTGCAAAGCATCATATATCCTCCAGTTGATAAAAAGTGATAGTACTTATAGAATTTTTTTTTAAATCTTTCTTCTTGTAATTGCTACTGCGATTCGTAAAAAATAACAATGTGATGAACTAAAATTCAAGCAAATTTTTTAAATATGTATTCGATTATAGAAGGAATGTCTTACATATCATAGATATATGCCAATATTGATATATTTTTACTATCAAATTAGTTATCAGTAATCAGTCATTAGTAATTCAGTTATCAGCCACTTTTAAATCAAAGTAAAATGGTATTTTAAAATTAATTCGTGCAATGAAGAAAATATTTNTTTTGAAACGTCTGGACCTTCGATCTCCGGAAACTTCCAGATCACTGTTAGCGAAAATTCCTGAAATCCGGATTTTTTCCGGAGCACAATCACCCCTGTATATGCCAATATTGATATATTTTTACTATCAAATTAGTTTTCAGTAATCAGTTATTAGTAATTCAGTTATCTGCCACTTTTAAATCAAAGTAAAATGGTATTTTAAAATTAATTCGTGCAATGAAGAAAATATTTAAAAAAAAAACATGATATTATTTTAAATAAAAAAAAAGTATGATTTTTATTTATTTATTTATATTATTATTGTTATTATTATTATTATTTTTAACTCAATTGGAATGGTTGCGTAAGAACTAAACTACCTCTTAAATTTCAGGTTCTAGAAAACTTCACTTGAGTAACTAAATTATTTTAATTTTCACCCTTGTTCAAGCGACATGACTGCTTATATGAAGAATGTAGAGAAAATTGTTATCAAAAAAATTTTTTAGATAATAACTTCTAGATTTTTTTTTTAAAAATGAAACTTTAAAATATTTGAAATTTAAAACTGCACTCTTTTAAAACAGATTACGATAGATTTTAACATATTTTTTTCAACAAAATGTTAAAACTTATTTCTACCGCATTTTTAAAAGTTCTTAAGGAATGGTATAAAGTGGGGCATATTGGAAACAAGAAGAATCTTGAAGTGGTTTTAATTGTGAACAAATATTTTAATATTTAAGTACATTCAACGTAGTTCTGTTTCTGAGGAATCATTTAACAAATCTCTGACTTATAGTAAAATTAGTGTCAGAGGATTTTTCTTGCTTAAATTAGGTTTTGAATTTTTTTGAAAAAATATATAATTCAAGGACGTTAAAAATTTGAAAATTCAATATAATATTCATTCAAATACGAAGACTTTAAATAGAGAATGCATACCCATCCTTTCGGGTAAGCTATTATATTCTACCCCACAAGTAGGAGAACAATATTAACATCAAATTATTGAATTAAAATTTTTTTAAAAATGTATAAAATTAACATATAAATAGATGAGTAATATAAATTAAATTCATAGTTTGTCTTAAACTTGATTAATTAATCAGATTTCAGAGAAGAAGAAAAATTAACTTATAGCTGCTAAGTTAAATTATCAAATATATTTAAGGAAAACTAATTATAGTTACGGAAAACTAATATTTATTTGGATAATAGTTTTGTTAAATAGTGTCGTATATATCTGTCATAAAAGTATAATATAGCACTTTTTCTTTTTTCAAAATCATCCTCAAAAATAATTGTTTTTTAAAATATTATCTTTCTCAAAATTTAATCTGTATCTACTCAATCATTTTAAAAGTATGCATCCATTAGTTCCCCCCTTTTTTTTAAATTATTTTTTAGTGTATAATATAAGATAAAAATTTTAATTCAAAATAGTATCTACACAAATGGAAGGCCATTAAAAGTTCAAACAAATCTAAGAGGAAATAAATTCGTTGTTTGCGATGTGTCACAGACAGGTTTAACAACAGATTAGATTTTAGAAAGGCCATATTTACTCAGTAATCCTAGACGATTATAAATACCTCAGGATTATTTGATTTACTAAACTAACACTAACCTGCATGGAGTCCACTAAACTGATGCCATCTTCTGGGGGTAATTTCGATGAAAACGACACCACCACATTTTGATAAGCATTTTTTTCTACGGACAGTTCCGCCTCTATTCTTAAAAATAGTGCCAAGCACAGAGCGGTGCGGAGACTCCAGAATTTTACGAGCATTATTTTTGTGTGTCTAAATTACTGCGTAATTACAAATTTTAAAAGACTTAGAACGGTCTTTCTGTTGTTTATAAAAGAAATGGCTGCGCTAATTGTGATAACATGTTAGGTATCAGGGAGAACAGATAGCAGGTAGAAAGATAGGTGTGTTTTTTATCAGGAATAAAAAAAATGACAAAGAAGTTTCAACTAAAAGAGGTCCTATCATTTAACATTTGGCGTAATAGATATGATTTTTGAGTTCATTCGATCACTTTACAGTTCCGCGTTTCGTTAACTCACTGACTCACTGTAATAAAAATAAAATATTAATACACATTTTTAAGATGACGTTTTTCAAAGTGTTTTTTTTTAAATTCTATTTCTTCATAAAACATTGGCGTAACTGGAGTACAAAGAGTAAAAAATTTCGGTAAAATTATCATACTCTATGATAATAGTATTTTTAGTTTAAAAAAAAGAATAAAAAATAAAAACTTAATTTCGGTATTACAAATTAAAATATACGGTATTTAACCCACTCATTTGTTAATTTTTCCGTTCTCTTGGTAACGGTTTACCGGAAATACTAGCTTTCAAAATTGTAGTTTTCATTGCCACACATTAAATAAAAACACAAAATTGAAAAGTAAGCTTAACCGAATCAATGGTTTTTATGCCATGGTCTATGTCAGGGGTGTCAAACTCGCGGCCCGAGATGAACATTTTTGCGGCCCAGTCAATATATCCAACGCAAAGTAAAAATGAAATAGAAATGTCAATTAGAAAGGAAACTGGCATATAAAACTATAATATACTTTATTTATAAACTATACGGATCATTTTAAATTGTAAGCGCGAAAATACAAAATTCTAATTGGCTTGCGGCACCTGCCATTCCAGGGATACTGCATCTTATCAAAAATACGCAGAAAAAAATTTCAAATCTCAGAACAGAATTTGAAACAAGGTTTAAAGATTTTAATTCTTTGGAAGACAATTTTTGTGTGTTTTCTTAAATTTTCTCAATAAGTATAGACTCTGTACCCAATAATATGCAAATGGAAATGATTGAGATTCAGTGCGACTCAAATTTGAAGATGAAATTCAATGAAGTGGGTGTGCCTGAATTTTACATATATTTACCGGCAAGGTTTGAAAATACTCGAAAATTCGCATATGAAATTATTTCCATGCTTGGAAGTACTTATCAGTGCGAGAAATTTTTTTTTCTGTTATGAATGAAAATAAATCTCCTGTCCGAAACCATATTAATAGCTCTCGTTGGGTCAATTTTGAAAGTAGTCTCGGCCAATAAAATTTCTCCCGAAATAGGAAAGATAGTAGCAGAGAAGAGATGTCAAATATCAAACAATAATTTTACTTTATATATGCTTATTACAATGTACTATTCAAAATAAAAATATTTGTTTCTGTAAACACTGATTTTTTTCTTAACTTTTTTTTGAGGCCCACCTAAAGTTAAGCATTGTTTATTTGGCCCAAGTTTGCTTTTAGGTTTGACATCCCTGGTCTATGGTATCAAGATAAAATTACCAAATTTTACCACGATTACCAAATTCTATAACATATTACTAAACCTTATTTTATTGTTAATTTTAGCAAAATCATTATTAAATCATCGCTTCGGTGAAAATTACCGAGTACTAAAAGCATGGTAAATTATACCATTTGATCATACTTTTTTTCCTTTGTAGGACTTAAAAATAACTAGGTTTCTTCTTTTTTCAATGATTTTCTTTCGACACATGAAGGAGCTCCGCAATCACTGTTCTAAACGTACACATAAGGGAGCTCCGTAATAACCGTTTTAAAGACTAGGTCCGTACTTTAAGGATCAAAAGAATGACGTTATTTTAAAGATTAAAAAAATTAAATGATCGTAGAAAATTTAAAAATAAGTAATTCTAAGATACTTTTGAGTGATCAATTTTATAAATGGAACTTAGCAACGATAATCGCTAAAATCAGTTCCACTCATTTAAATGAAGATTTCAGCAGGCTTGTTTACTGACTTGGGTTTAATGATTTTTGAAACGCTATACCCTATTGGATAGAAATATAAAATTTTGTACGTTTTTTGAGAAATGTTTAAGAAATATTCAATGAAAAAATATAATGGGTGCGTTCATTAGATTTTGAGTTATAATTTTTTTTCTTTCGCACCACGTTTTTTAGATGACCACTTCGTGATTTGTTTAAATTTCCATGTAGTAAATTAAGTACTACTAATTCTACAGATAAAGAAAAAAAATTTGGCATTTTTAAAAAAAATTTTATTAGTTTTGAAGTTATTGAATTAGTTTGGAAAATGTTTAGAAAAATATAAAGCAGGGTCAACATGATTTTTTTTAATCATAGATTTATTTTAGAAAATATTATACTGCACTGCATTATATAATGTATTATACTTCAGGCTGCGATAATAAACCATTGATATCAAATTTCATTGATAACAAATGTTTTATTCATTTACGGAGAAAAAAATTCTGGCAAAATCACCATGTTGTATGGTAAAGACATTTCTGGGGAAATAAACCAAATTTCTAAGAATTGAACCAAAATATATGATATTTAAACTATTCTTATGGTAATTTTACCGTTTGCTGTTATTACAATTTACTGAAAATTTTACTTTTAAAAATTGTACTTCTTCTTTCAATATATTTAGCAAAAAATACAAATTTCAAAAGAAAATGTGACCAAATATATGGTTTTAGTGTCATGCTCTGAAGTATCGCGTAAAAATTACCGAAATAAACCTTTGAGCTGTCATTCATTTTACCATTTTTTTGATAATTTTAACCTTTTAACGTCGATGACTTTTCTTTTTAAATAGAATGGTAATAATATGTTTACACTTCTAAGGGTTATTTAAAATGGTAGTTTATTTAAAATGGTTGATAGGAGTTAGATGACGGTTAATTATTTCTTATTCTAATATAATTTCTCATTTATAAAAATGGTTAGAGGGATGAAAAAGGGGGCTTCAAATGTTTAATTAAACCATCAAATGTTAATTGAACCATATTCTCGTAGTTTTAGGTATACTTTTTTTCAACCTTAAGGACAGAATTAAGGACACGTTTAATGAACTAAGAAACGAAATATTTTTCTTTTTTTCGTTCAAGAGCTCAACTTTTAATTCATAGTTTTTCATTATTCATTTCATATCATTTTCACATTTTAATGTGCTCATTGTAGTATTCAAAATAATTCTGTTTTATTGTCAAAGAATATTAATTATACCCATTTAATTTCATACACATTTATGTCAATACAAGTAATTTTAAACTAATTAAATATGTAGTTTGGGTATCTACTTGTAAATAAAGAATAAAGATTTGTTCCGCAAACAAATAATTTATTTTTAAAGATTTTTGTTCGTAATTAATTCACTCTTGATTCATCGGTCATTCAATAAAAGGTAAATCAATTGCTGACTTTCTGCTTTTGCAGTTGATCAATGTTTATAGTTTGATAAAATAATAATATTAAACTTTTTATTATTAGTGGTATTAAGAACTTTAGTTACAGTATTATTATTAATAAGTATTATTTATGCATTTTGTCTGAAATTTCATCGTTAAACGCAAAAATAATTTTTTTTTTAAATTTATTGAAATAAAAAAATCCGATGTCTAATATATACTTTGTTAAACAAAACATAACTTTTTTTAACCATGATAAAATGCCTCAATATTGCCATGATAAATGCCGCTAAAACCCTAAGCACGCTGCTGGTCGCAGAAATTTAACATATGATTGGATAAAGAAAATACAGTTAGCTTTTCATTCATAGTTAAAATTTAAAACATTTTTAAATCCTCTCATAAATTGAAAGTAACTTCTCAGTTCCACTTTTTCTAAAAAATCTGGTAATTTTGGGATTCAATTTAAATGATATTATGCCACAAGACATAACAGAAGTTGAACGTGTATGTTGGATAAATAATAATGGAATTGTAGGTAGGTAAAAATGGTTTTAGTTATATCTATAATGAGAATTTCTACCTATTTTCGGTTTAATTAAAAGCATTATTGTAACCAATATTGCTTTTTTTCTCTGTTCCTTCTGATACTGTGTATTTTAATTAGTATTATTATGGATACTTGGTCTCATTGACCTCTGATCCCAGTGACCTTGTCTCATTGACCTCTGAGTTTTGTGAAACTAACCAATTCCAACAATCATAAACTCAACATTTTCAGATGAACAATATATTATTTATAGGTATAATTTTTAAATGCGAGTTTCTTTATACATTTTTTTTAAATGCTATTGGTACTATTTTTATCCGAGCTATTAATCTTCAATGTAAACAGATTTATTATTCATTACGGAGAATAATTCTTTATTAAACTTTAATTAGAATACATAACTTCGGATCTTCCAAACTTTCCGATTATTTAGATACCTTTTTCACGGGGACAGCTTTTCATAATATTATTTATAGTTATATACTGTTCTAAACATGCAGATGCTTCTCTTTTCAGCTGTTGTTAATACTTCTATATTTTTAAATAATTGTCCGTTGTATAATAAATGTAAAATTGATGTAAATTGTGTGCTTGTGTATTTTTTAATGTCAGAAATCGTCATTGTAATGTTAATAATAATTAAAGAAATCAAATATAAATATTTTTTATTTAATTTAAACAACTATTTATGTCCAGTAATGCATCGAAAAATAAACTTATTGAAGTTTTGTATGCTGTTTTAATGTTCGATCACTTAGAATAGACAGATAAAAATACATTTTTTCTTACGTATCTTTAAAAAGGAATTTGCTTATAACTAAGATGAGAACTTTTTTTAATCTACTTTTAATTCCAGAGATGTACTTAAGTTCCCTACATGAAAATATTTAATTATTGAAAAAATTTTGGATAACCATACATTTTGCACTTAGTTTTAAACTTTTTAGTGATGATATTTTACTTATATACTAGTATAATTTCTACTCTTAATCTTCCAATAAATCGAATGAAGCAGACTTAATTCATCTCTGTTATTTAATTTTACAAGAGATTAGAAGAAAATTTTCGTATTGAATACACGATCCTCAGTACGCATGCAAAACGAAATAGTTTTTGAGTACCGTATA